TAGATCAGGTACGAACTGTGACCACCTCGAAATAGTCTTCCATCCGTCAGTTGAACGCATTTTTCATACTCTACTATAAGACGAACCATTTATTTTTCGGCCCCTCTAGAAAATTGAGTAAATTTGCCAGCGAATTCAGGGTGAATGTTCACAGCATTCAACTTTGATAAAAGAGGCAGGGGAATTGGTTGGTTCTGTTCATGCTTCAGTTGGCACTTTAATAATATGTCTCAGAAGACTTCCAACAGAAATCACGACGTTGTTGTCCTTGAACGTAAAAATTGTAACACGGATGCATTCCTTGAAAAGAATGCAGAATCACATTTTATTTAAAAGATTGTGATGGTCAGAAAAAATCGCACGCATTATTTTGACGAGAATATATATATTTCATATTTTTCACGAAAAAATATATCTTCAATCAGCGCAAATACGGAAGCTTTCAGATTGCGGGAAAAAATGATCAGATAAAATGGTAATGCTGTTGTGAATGGACAGAAAAATGATAACCACGATTTAATAAGAAAAAAGTGCCCACATTCTGACAAAAGATTGCGATGGACAGAAACAGTCTCGGACTTCGAGTAGCAAATCTGATGCATTACATTTTTCCAGCCAAATTTTCATGAAAAAATTCGTCTTCAATTAGCCAGTTTCGTGAAATAAAAAGGTATAGTTGGCAAATCGAACATTTTTTTTTAAATATTGTTCTACATCCTGAACACCGCGTCACTTGATGGCATTCGCAACAGGGACGAACCTTGGAATAACAAGTGTTCCGCATATTTTCTCTATTCGTCGGATGACGCATGATTAGAACCAATAAGGAATGAGATTCTTCGGCCAAAAAGTATGCGGATGTGCGTGCGGTGGGCAAACGAGGTCAAGTTGTGGGAAGTATCACCTTGAGATTGCTCCTTCGCCAATCAGAACTAACTCAGCAATCTGGCTTGACACGGGTGTTATTATTTTTGCCTCCATAAGCAAGGTCATCCAGCAATGAAACGGCGTGTTTATCAGCGAAGGGAAAATAAACAAATATTTTCGGTTTAAATACCTCAGGACAGATAAAAGAAAAAAAATGTTTCTCCTACGCAGATTTGTCTAAAGATTATCAAAAATAATCCCACCCGACAATTTATTTGTTTTTCTATTGGAGTGTATATTCAATTGATGTCGTTTCTGTTCCAGAAACCCAACACATGAAAAATAAATTGACATTTTTTTGAACATTGCAATTCAGTTCTCTGTTGGTTTGAGCCGGGTTTCGCAACCCACATGCTTGAGTCACGATCAGTGGGATGTGAATCTCATTTGGACTGTCGAATTCATTACCATAAAATTCGTCTTTTCAGTCGGCGGTTTTAAAATTTTCTTTCAGGAAGCTGCTTTACAGCCCGAAAAAGGTTTAAACCATGATCAAAAAATCTACTCGAATAGCACGTAATCATTTTTTCCAATCTCTAATGATTTGAATTGATTTTCCAAGCGCATTCGTTTGTGGCGGTTAATCCACGCAACTCTTAAATTAAAGTAGGAACCTCCAATAATTAAATGTTTGCCTTATTATATCAAATCCCTAAGTAAAACAGGAAGTTCTTCAACGAAGTGTCGTATTTTGGCTTTGATACACAAGAAAGCCGATTCAATTCGCAAGGATTCTTCCAATTCTTTTTTTTCTCATCTGTTGATTTGATCCCGTTTCCCAACCCACTCGTTTGTGGTTCGTTGAGAAGCTCAATTTCCGCACCAATTTGATTCCCATTGAAGTATTCTTCAGTCGAAACGGCGCAAAGGCATGAGGATATATATTTTTGTGAATAAATTCACATTTAAAAAAAGCAAGAATCGTCATTTCCTTTCAAGACTTAATTTTCCCCTGTTCTCTGTTGATTTGATCCCGTCATCTCAATCAGATGTGCTGAAATGCCCGAGACACGCAAAAAGTACATAAATATGTACAACATTATTCTCTCTCCTTTTTTTTTTTTTTTAGCTGCTGATGGTAAAAACGCGGCCCTTTCCACCTGTTCCCGATTATGTTCACGGCACTAAAACTTGGGAAAGATGTTCTTCCTCATGGGTAATCCACTATACCTAACTGTTTGGTAGTGTGCCACGAAAGTAACGTTTCCTCGCGAAGGGAAAACAAGGGAGGAGAGAGTTGAAAAGGAGGCGCAGACACAAAAACATGCACAAAAAAAGGGGGGAAATCAGAGTCACGACTGGTTGCCAAGTTCGAGGTCAGGGGAGTGTCCCTGATGGCAGCAACGTGATAGCTATATTATTTCTATTAAAAAAAAAAAAGGAAGAAGAAGAAGAAGAAGAAGAGAAACAGTCACGGGAGAGGAAAAAAAAAGAAATGAATTTAAAAGATGGACGGGGGAAAAAAAAAGGTATATAGGAAAGAGGCAAAACTTGGTTCGACAACGCATCGCAATCCGGGAAGTTTGCCAAGCCTTCGCCTCGCACCGAATTATCCAGCGTCGGCTGTCCAAGGTTGCCAAACGCCGGCGCACCTGCTGCATTAATTTCCCCCCACCGCGGGAATAAAATTTCTCTGGTGTTCTCTTCCCTTCCCCCCCATCACAACACCACCAACGACTTTACGGACTCTCTCTGTCACGATCACAAGCACACAGCACAGAGACCGAACACACCCACCCCCGGGCACAAGAACACTTTCCACCGATCGGAATATGAGGGAAATAAATTTCTCACTTCCGGCCAGGCGACTATCGTCACATTTTCGAGAACGCTCACTATTTCGTCGTCTGGTTGAGGCTATGACATTCGCTCTTCAGCGAAAGGCAGGATCAGTCTGGTAAAATGTGTGGTTAAATGTTTCAAATCATCATCGATACCCGCCCCGAAGCTACCATTAATCAAATCACCCCGTCATACAGCAAAACTAACTAATCTCAATTTGGAACAACAAGAATGAAATAATTACTCTCGTGCGCAGACGGGATCGCTTTGTGGAAATACACATCAAGTTCTTGAGTCTTGGATCCACGAAACCCCCACTCCGAAAGTGTTAAAATTTTCCAACATTTTGCAAGCTCGCCAATCTTCTTATCCAAACCATTTTATTTTTTTAAAAGCCCGAACAGATTCGGGATTCTAAAAAAAAAAATATGCACGCGCGGCGGGACAGACAATACAAATTTGAGAATTTCAGTGATCATAAACCGACACAAAAGCTTTTATAGAACTTCCATCACACGTATATTACAGGCATTCCATCTTTTGCTGAAGACAATGATACTTTTACACGAAAGCTTCCTACGAAAAATTAGCGTTCCAGATGATTTTGTGATGATTTAAAACGGTAAGTGATATAATGATGTTAGACACCAAGTATTTTGGCCGACGTCGAAAGGTTGAAGAAGTTGTGCTTTGATAGTTTTAGATTGGATGGAAGAAGGGAATTAATTCTGTCTTCAATTTGCAGCTATAAAGACCCACATTACCGTAACAAAAGATTCAGCAATTAAATGTACGACTTCAACACATCTTCACCATTTTTTTCTTCGATGAACAAAATATACCGTATTTTTCAAAAACAAATCGAAAATTATTCTGAGGACTTTCTCGAGCCTGATGCAGATGAAGTGAGTATTTCTTTCTCCTCATTCTGAACTACGTTCTGCTCTTTCGATAATGGTTGCTAAATATTTGCTTAAGCATGAAACTGCTGAGTTGTGCGTATTTATGTGTTCTCAAAACAATATTTTTGTGCATATGTTTAATTCTCGTGGCGGCTTTTATGAAGAGACCTTTTTAAATCTGAGTGGTGCTTTATGAAGCTCGTTTTCTTGAGTTTGGTGAACCAAACACGAAAAAAATACTGCGGTTGATCGACCATAAAGCAAATTCAGCGATGAAATATATTTTCTATGGGTCTTTTTCCAAGGTCATGAATTAGTTGATAAAATCTCCGAACGAATCTACAGACATTCTGACACAAATTTATCGAACACTGCTTCAATTAAGAATACTGTAATAAAGAAAAACGCCATCTGGGAGAAAGAAAAAAATAGAAAGGTCCGTAAAAAGCAGACAATACCACACATCCTGCCGGTCATTTCTTCTTCAGAATTACAACCCCAGCGAGAAAAGAAAAGAAAAATGCAAGGCGCACCTGCCATGGAAAGAAGGAACAAAAAAAGGAAAGAAAACGGAAGTCAACGTATTTCTCCCCCAGGGTTTCCTCTATGCCTAGAACACCAGCCACTATCCGAAATGATAACCCCTACTAGGGTGGGAGGGGATGGGGAACAGAAAGAAGCCAGGCATCCCTGCCCAATTGAGCGCCACCCAACTGAGCGTTTGGTAAAATTGAGCGCCGTACAACTGACCCGTCTCTGCAGAACTGCTTACATGTCTTTTCAAAGTTACATTTAAATCATAATGTAACAATTCCACACTGTCATTTAATTAATATTGCAAAAATTTCATACCGTAATTCAAATCTTACTGTAAACATTTCATAAGGATATTTAAATCATTTCATAAACTCTTATAAATTTCCTAATTTCATTTATGTCCAAAAGAAAAATGTTGGTTTACGCCTTAAAGCTTTGGGCATTACATAATATCAAATTATATTCTACAGTAAATTTATTTTTAGTTTTCTGCGTTGCCAAAATATCAATTAATCGCGAAATGTGCTGCTATTATTCCACCGCAAAAAGGGTTTAGGAATTACAGTACTGTATGCTCAATTCCAGTCATAGTCTGCTTTTCCAACTTCCCCTTACACAGAAATGGTTGAACAAGTGGACTCTCTGCACAACAAAATTCAACGAACCACAAAAAATTCATTGTAGAGGTAATTTTGCTGCAGAGAACCCCTGTAACATGGGGAGAGAACCTTGTGAGACCAAAGAAAAAATTCTTTATACTGTGCAGAGAAAATCTTTATACAGAGCACAGCCTGTATTTTTGCAATAAAAAAAATTGCCATAAAGCAAAGCGTCCATTTGGGCTGTGCTCGTCTAATCCGACGCCCATTTGGGCTCGGCGTTCAATTGCGCGGCGCTCACTTGACCCAGCACCACGAGGGAGAATCGCCGTCCGTTCAAAAAGGCAGTGCCTCCTTCCGAATGACACTCTACTCGATGGCACGCGAAATCACGATCACTGGACCGTCGGATTCATTAACCCGACGCCTGGGTTCTCTCTTCGGGGAGAAGAAAAAGACAGGGGAGAGAGAGAGAGAGAAGGAAACGAGGGAGAAAATACAAGATAATAAGAAAAAAATCCTTGGTCACTTCCTTTCCTGGGCGAGATTCCTGAGGCGAGGTTTAAAATTGCTCACAGGAAACAAGGTTCGTAGCTGCAATAAATTGTTACGAACTCTCGGCCCGGCGTTCAACGGTGTTTCCGCGACGTTCTCAACAGCCTTCGCTTCATTTGGCCTGTTACTTTTTTTTTGCAGGGGGGGGGGGGGGGGGGGGGGGGGGGAGGGGAATTATTCCTAGTACTGTAAATTTCTCCCAACTTCAAAAAAAATGCTTCTCTACTTCATAATTGTTTTTCAAACGATCTTCTTCAATTATTACATGTTTTACACGAGACAAAACATCAACACTGAATTCAGCTTTTGAGTGGGCTTTTATTCAAAATTTTACTCCGTACACTTCTTAAAATACTGTATTAATTTTGGGAACTGAAAACTAAGGTTAGCGGGGCTGGAATTGTTTCCAAATTTTGAGCTAACAAAACTAAGGTACGTTTCTTACACTCAAAGGCGCGCGGTACTGAATGAATACTGTACAGTACATGGGACAATCAACAGAAATTTTTTCTTTGGAAATATCGTAGAGCATACTTTTTTTTTAATAAGTAAAGTAATACCTATTGATCAATACTAGGATCCTGGAATAATAAGTTCGAATTCTGTATCGGCATAGAATAGCCGTACTTCAGGATTAAATTTTATTTCACCATCGATAAAAATAAATTTGAATGGTATGCTATATGTCGCTTATAATGTAATACAGTATTGTACTACATTGTGTAAATCATCTTGAGGGAAGTGACGCTGGATAAGGTGCGAACAGTCCAGGACTTACTGAGCTTAATTTGTGTTTCAGCATTCAAAACTTTTGCACCTTTTCGATTGCGAAGTGGATGGATAAAATTGGATAAAAACGAAATTTTCCTACATGGCTACAGGGTTGCATTTCCCGTGAGGGGGGGGGGGCGGGGGATGATACAGTTTTAAAAGCGAAATACAGTACATGCCACGAAAAGTTATCCAACTTTATTTCCGAACACGTGTATTTATGGAAGAAACTGCGTAAAATCCATCGAGCAATTTTTCGCGCCTGAGCGAGAGTTTTCTTTCAAGTGCAGTATATTCTAGAAGCATTCCCAGAATGCTGGTGAAGTCAAACTTACTTGTAACGCACAATGTCGGCATCCTTAACGAATTGAACAATTCGATACAGAAGCTCAGCCACGTTAGCAGGACCGTTTACATCAGTAGTTGCTTTGCCCATCGTAACCTGTCCAATGATATCCAGCGATTTTGGACAGTTCCTTCCAAGCGACTTGAAGTATTCGTTGAAAATCGGCTGGGTGTCCACGAAGCCGCAGATTAATCGACCAAATTCGTCCTCCAAGTCCGGATACTTCGAGAGAAGCTATGGGAAAACATATACATGTTCACACTTCTCCGTTGAAAAATGTAGGTTGTGAATTTTCATTAACCTTTAGAAGTAGAGGTAGGTCAATAATCCGATCACCATGGGAAACAAGGATTATCGATCCTCTAGGGTCGAGGAAACCGGCAGATTTTGCAGCTCGACGTAACCACAATATAAAATTCTTCAGCACGTCTTTCCGGTGACTCGCATGCAAATTTTCCCCAGTTGTTCTTCTGTATAAGGTACATTTACCGTCGACTTCAAATGAAAACAAACATTAGCTTAAAAAAACGGAATATTAAAACGAATGATCCCTGAAGAGCCGTCGCATGTTAATAGCATAAAAATACATTCCGGAAGATTATTGTTTTCACTGTGGTTTTCCGGCGTTGATCAAGAACATTAAATTTATAGAACTTATCCATCCACGGTTTTTCAACCCATGTTCCAGCACTGACCAGCAGTCCGCAGAAGATGCGTCTGTAGCTATTTATGTTCCAGATCAAGCTGACCCGATCCATGAGGCATTTCAATGATTATTGTAGCCGTTACGGGAAATATATTTTCAACTTTGAACCGTTTCGGGGACGTGAGGGTTGAGGAAAACATTCCATTACGGAGCTTAAATCGACTTTTCCAGATCGAGGCATATCATTTCTTGAGTAAATCATAACGTATCACATGGCAACAGCTGTTCAAGGAGGAATATATAGATCTTACTCGGACTGCGAAAAACCCAGAAATCCAATGCTTCTGCAGCAGAATCATCGACAGGACGCGTAGGCATGAGGTATCCCGTGAATTTGTTGTCCATTCCGGGACAATAAGCTCCTAGCTGATAAATCTCGTCTAAGAGGGTAAGACCGGTAGTCTCAATATCCCAGAAAACGAAGATGTATTGACCGTCAGGGACACGTGCCTTTTCACCACCTTCGACGACAGACTTATGCATGAGAGGTAACCAAAGACCAGGATCAGATGCAGTTACTGAGGATTTCTCCGAGATCCTGTAGGATGATTCATATTGACGCTAGAATTGAATAGTACACATTTTATTGAATTTTATAGATACTAACGGAATCTTGACGTATTTTATGTCACAATCAGCGCTGTGTTGTTTAGCCAGCACATCGCGAAGTGCAGATGATTCTACGTCGCCTTCAGCACCGACTTTAACAATGCTTGAAAGCTTCTTTTCACTCCATGATAAACCAGTAGTGCGCGCATCTCCGATTACAGCGTCACTGCGGCTCTTGAACATCGACAAAGTTGAGCAGCAAAATGTGCTTATCACAAAGAAAGAAATATTGCATTGGATATACCTCTATGATGGAATGCGCTCTTTCGGCAAGAAGATTTCGAGTAAAATGTTTCGATTTCCCAGGAAAAAATTCCGGCGCATTTCGGTCCAAATCTGAGATTCGCGGGGTATTCTCCATCTTTCTCGGGTTCGGTATGATCTTCCGAGCTTTCGGCATAAAAACAACATTTTCACATTTTGGACAAACATCACCAGCATACGAGGACAGTGACGATGACGAGGTCCAACAACAACTCTGACTTTCATTTGCCGCTGATGACGATGTTGTTTCCCAATTCAAGTCGGGGAAATCCCGAGATGAATACACAACGCGCATCGCTGTAGAAATTGAGCAAGGGTTACGACTCACAAGCAATTCAAGTTTCTATGATCAGTTTGATCACCAACTCAAACCGAACAGATTGATCTTCAATAAATCCGATGACTCACGCTCACTTCTCACAGTATTCGATTCCGATTCCAGCGCTCCTCAGCAAGTCGATGACCTCAATTTCAATTGTCTATAAATTGAAAATGTTATCAGAACAAGGATTACACTGACAGCCAAGAGGATTGCTCACGCTCGGCGTTCCGACATACGCAGTTGAGAAAACGCCCGATCTCGCAAACGCATACAATCATATTTACAGGGAAGAAGGGGAGGAAAAAATTGCATCGTTCGAGATCCGCGGCCCAAAATATGGCTGTAAATTATGTACTGAGTTAAGCATCAGAGACGAACGTTTCCTAGCCCGCCTAATCCGAACGCATTTCTGCGAAGCTTATGCCGCAAGCATTCACATGCTTTGCTTCGACAGAAAAATGTTACCCTTCTTCTATATTAGTGAAAAATTATTTGACTAAAAAGTCACAAAACCGCATTAGCCGGTACACGCACTTCGAATACGAACTGATTCACAACCTCCGCACATAACTCACACCAGCACTCATACATACATATATACACGATGAACACCATCTTACGTCAGCTTTAGCGCAGAAGCATCAACGCATGTCTACAGCAGATACTGTCATCACTAACGATTTGAAAACTATTCGGAGCGGTGATCTCAGAGACAAGTCTCACCGAATCAATGCTGCTGTACCGTATTCGATGGTCGTCAAAAATTTTCGCGATGCTCTCATGTCCTGCACAGCATGATTGGAGCGACATCTGCATAGCATGCGGCATGGGATCGGCAATCAGAGAGACTGCCATTCTTCCATAAACTGTACCATCACCATCTTTGCAGGTGTACAGTATGATATCCAAAATGCCTCATTCAAAAGTACAGTAATAATAAACAAATGTGTGTACCAGTATATATACAGTGAGACCCCCACATCCAGACGCCTTGACCTGCGGACGATTTGACTCAGGGACACTTTCTTTCCAATCAAAAAAGACCCAACCTGTGGACACTGACTCAACCAGCAGACATCAAAAATTTTCAGAAAATCGAATTTTTCAAGCCAAATTACTAAGAACAGAATATTCAGAACCATGGATGGTAAGATCCATGTGACAAAAATTGTTTTAAAATTCTGTCAGCAATTAGCTAGTTTTAAAAATTATCTCAAGCATAGAGATTCTCAAAAAAGAAGAGATTTCCTTCTCTCTTTTTGTTAATTTAATTTTTACAGGAAATGCTAAGATCTCAATGTTCAATAGTGTACAGAGGTACAGCATTTTTACTTAGATATTTTTCCTGTATGCTTGTTCCTAAGAAACTGATGTTGAAAAAACATTATTCTCAACTTTTTGCTTGACAAAAAGCTAAGTTTTATAAGTTAATTTCAAGAAGGCTAGATTTAAAAAGTGGAAAATTTCCTCTAAGAAGACAAAAACATCTGGAATAATCAGGAATGTGCCAACTGTGGAATTCAAAAAAGAAACCATGAAGATGCCACAGCTGGAGAAGAAAGGAAGAGAAGAGGACAGTTGCTGAATTGATGGATCTTAACATTAAGCAGTAGCACAGAAATTGTGCATTTTTTGAATGTTTTATGTCCCCAATGCTACAAATTTTATACATGAGTTGAAAAACACTGATTTAATAATTTTTTCATCATTAGAATTTTCCCTCAATTTTAAAAAGGAATTTTGATCAATATTTCTTTTAGAAAACACCAATTAAAATTATATAATGCAAGTCTATGGGAAAACAAGACTCAACTTAGGGACACTCTTGATACATACCAATTATGTCCACATCTTGGGGTCTCACTGTACTGTAGTTGCATACAATTTGAAGTCAGATATATGCATAAAATTTCAAACTTGAGGTTAATGGATTTGCCATTGGATTACAATATGTAGTACTGTGAAGTATGCAATGCTAAATACTGTACAACTACAAACGCAGTTACATCTCAATATTGGAGTGACCCCCCTGTGCCACACAATCGAATGACTCATCATTGCAGGCACTGCCACACGGGATACCCGCATATCACCAGCCAGGCCGCCAGGTTCTGTAAGAATAGTACAGTAGCATACAATGAAGTACCACAGAACTTGTGAACCAATTCTGCACCATGCACAGAGGCTGTGCTCGGAGGAGGGGAGCAGAAACTAACTTAAATACAGTATAGTCATGAAGGTATGCAGTATTGGCGAGTATCATCAACCCTCCAAAAAGGGTTACCACTCCAAATTTCCAAACATAAAACAAAGATTATGACCTGTTATGTTTACATGATTTTAATTTATTTGGGTGGCAAATCTGATGTACACAGCACAGTACTACATAATGGGCTTACATGTTGGTATTTTTACATGGGTAATTGGTCATGTACTCCTGTACTCATATTCAGTTTAGTAGTCTTGTCTACATAGTCCCACAAAAAACGCTCAAAATTCATAGGATGAAAATCAATATCCCTGTCACGATAAAGTCAGGCCTGAGCCATATTTAAGTACTTTAAATGAAAAACATGCAGAATTGTATTACAGTACTGTACTTTTTGCATACTTCAGCAGGCAGGTACTCCGTACATGTTCAGTTTCTTGTAGACTCTACAATGATTTTGTTGTTGTTGGTCAACATCCTACAATTGTGAAGTTTGTTGTCAGAATAAATATGACTTTGTATAATAGGTAATACTGTACACATCTTCCACAGTATACTGCTGTACTCAAAAATTTTAATTTATTTCCGGCATAAGATTTTGAACATACAAGTTGAACCTCTCTAAGTCAAATTTCAAGGGACCTGCAAAAAAATTCGACTTAGAGAGGTCAGGAATTTTATAGGTTGGAACTGCAGTACAAAGCCCTTTTTTTCTGGAAAGCTTGGAAACAATTTAAATGGAGATATTGTAAGCCTGAATGGCTTCTTAAATGAGTTGAAAGGCTGCTGAACTTGGAGGCAGGGGTTTATTTTCCCAATTAAGTCTTTCACTTCCTTTAATACACATAAGTTTATGTTTTTATTGCTTTTTTTCTTAATTTTTTCAAGAAAATAATGCCCAACAGGCCAAAGAAAATTCAACTTACAGAGGTCTGAGGGAAAAAGCCTTTGACTTAGAAGAGATTTTTTTACCACGTTTTTATGAACTCACTTTCTTGTCTGTCTGTTTGTCCGGATCAAATTTTGAAACTCAAATTTCNTTAAAAAATTAATCTAAAAAACCACGTTTTTCAAGTGACTAAAAAGCACAAAAAAATTTAGTGGATTAAAAAATTAATCTAAAAAACCACATTTTCAAAAAGCAAAAAATAACCTTAAACGTGGTGCGCATGGAGATTGTTGGGAAGAAGTGAAATACAAATGAAATAGATGCGCACCACATTTAAGGTTATTTTTTGCTTTTTGAAAACATGGTTTTTTAGATTAATTTTTTAATCTACTAAATTTTTTTATGTATTGCTTCTAAGGGGATTCAGAGGGGACCTGAAAAAAATTCGCCTTAGGGAGGTTCGAGTTATCGAGGTTCACCTGTAATATGCTTTAGAATCACAGAAAAAAGGCAAAATTGCCTGAATTTGAAGAGAAGCAGCGGATGAACCATCATCCATTATGTACTCCAAAAATGTACAGATCATCTTCACTACTTTTTAAGCATAATTTTTTTCAAACGTTCCGACTCTTCGATGCAAAAATGACGACGGTTTACGCGGTATAGTGACTGAAGAAGGCAACAATTCCAACTTTGATGGTTGCTCTGTCGTCGTGAACTGATCATCAGGATTTATGTACGCTTCTGAAGACTGTTAACTAATTCACTCCTGCTAGAACACTGAACAAATGTAGGTGATGGCACTCAATTCACTGATTTGGCACAAAGAATCATAATAACCATATGAAAAAGGCTTCGCCGAACAATTCAATGTATTTCTAGATGACATATCCTCGCGAATTAATCGCTCCATTTTAACCTTCATAATTCATTATCAAAATGTCGAAGAAACTACCACCACGCGATCTTATCCCACCAATGCGAGCCATCCGTGATCGTTTCCTTGGCCGCAAGTACATTCAAGCACTTCGATTTGTTGGAGAAAAAATATCGAAACGGTCGCAACCTCCACCGAATCTACCAGATGGCCCTCATGCTCGTCTCAGTAAAGTTGACTACCACAAAAGAGACGCACGAAACTTCCAAGAACCTCCAAAAATATTGGCACAAAGTCCAGGCGCTGCCGATAACCAGGCCATCCAGGGTGGAAAGACAATTGCCAACGCCGTGGATACGGAAGTGGCTCACTTAGCAAGAAAGCATCCACCACTAGTAACACCGGGCGAAGTTTATAATCCAAAAGCTTCTCGTGGGTAATCGGTTCAATGAAGCAAATCCAATTTGTAAACAGAAGGACCAAATTCTTCAATATCTTGTGCGCACTGTGCGGAAGCTCTTCGGAATCCTTTGGATGCCTGCCGAATTCTTATTGTTCGCGATCTTCCCAAAACTTTTGACGCAGCATTGTTCACACGTCTTGCAGAATTCACCATCCAATTATACATCACTCAAACGCTGTTTTCTCCAAATCGTTTCTCTTATGGATTAGACAGAGGTTCCCAACGTTTGAACTTTCAGAGCGTTTTTTTCTTTTTTAAATCTGAAAAACATACACAGTATTTCAGACCTTTCCAATCTTGCTGTATTTTTTTAATGGTCTCCAGCTTGAAATAAACAGGACAATTTTTCCTGTTTCCAATGAAAAGGCCCCAAGTTTCAGCAAATCATTGAACACGTCTTCATGAATCAAAAGCAATAAATCTTGCGGCTTATTTTCTTCTCCTGGAGTGCCTGTGGAGGACTTCACAAAATGAACGGCACATAAGATGGGATTACTATTAGTACAGAGAGGAATTCCTTCAAAGTTTTGAAGACGTAAGAAAACTTGGAGGCATCGGAAATCCATTCTTTCCACTCAGTAATTGCATTTGAGGACTGAATCTCTCCGGCACCAAGCACATGAGCAATTGAAACGTGATCACAGCTGTCAAACCCCAAATCTTGTGATGTTCTCCTTGAAAGACAGGCATTGTCAAAACAGTTCTTCCTATTTTGTAATCTGTCGTAGAAAAGCTCGCTTCGTCGCACAATGTATCCAAAGACTCGAGAAACACTTGCTCCACCTCATCGCGGTTAACTCTGAGGGAATCGAGTGCCAAATTTCGAATTTCAGCGATCACCGGATGGACCCATACTTCGAAATTTTTCGAAGGTACTTTCGGAAGGAAACCCCACGGTTCAACCAAGTTCGGCTGGAGTCCGATTTCTTCCTCAGTTTCGCGAAGAGCAGTCGCAATCAAGTCCGCATCTTGCTCGTCATGCGTCCCTCCAGGGAAGCAAACTTGGCCACTGTGACTTCTACGGAGTCAATTCTTCTGCATTATTCCCGCCAATCAGAAATCATTTATGCACAAAAATCATTTAGACACACCGTCATTCGAAATTTTTGGGTGGATGTTTAATTTTATAAAGGAGAAATCCCTGTTCGAAAATTTGTCCACTTCTCTAGGTCTCCAATGATCCTCACCGTAATGAAGATGACCTCAAAGTATACAACAGCGAAAGTTGGTCTGTTTCCGTTTTACACAGCGGTACCAAAACAGCAGCATGTTTCTTCGGCTCTTTCGCAGGAAGGCGGAAAACAGACAATTCTTTAACGCGCTGCATGCAATTCGCGCGTCTCAGCGAACTCAGGTGCGACATAAGAAAAACGACTCGCGCGATTCAAGACATCACGTAACTTCCTGAACAAAGCGCGGGGAAGTTCTGCTTTTAGAAGAAAATCCATCACAAAAGCAACAGCGCAGAACACGTATGATCAAATCATCATAAAAAAAGGATTAAAATACGAATAGATTCGTACGAATTGTCATTTTACTCAAATATCTTATGAAGGCCCCAGGTCCGGACGCCGAAACATGGGACTAATGACTTGCGCACGAATAGATGGCAATCACATGAGTCCTCAAGGAAACGAAACTGCTCCAAAACAGCAAAAACAAAATGGAATGCCATCGTTCACACTCCGCAAATAAAATGATATGGTCCTTGAAACACTAACACCATCGATCACCACAACGTTAAAAGCACAGCAGAAGCTCTAGCTTCCGTATTATCACTCGGTCGGACCTGGCAGCATTTTGATTCTGAACCGGATCCTCAATCAGCAAAACTCTGCTCATCTTGCAAGTTGACTTCTGGAAATAACTCCGCCAGAACCAGGTCGAACAGGGCGTATGAAAGCTGAAATACCGTCAGCAATTTTTTCAGAATGTACTGTAAATAATTTTCATGATCAGAAATATTAACCTGTTTGTTAAGTTTCGGCTGTTGCAAAGAGCAGAATATTTGCTTGCTGCCAGTGGTAATTCTGTCTGCACCAACGACAGTTTCCACAAAACCTGGATAAGCTCTTCTGAATGCCAACCAAGCGGTATCTGCGCGTTCCACCTTCTCCTGATCTGTTCTCGGCTTCGACTCGTTGATGAAGACGAAATCTGAGGACCCACACAAGTACTGTATACATGTTTTTCGATGAAGGTGTATCAGGCGTCAGTCCTCAACTTCAATCGGCAGCGTTAAATTCTGCATTTCAGATGATCATAATGCAGAATGAAGCACACGCCAGATTGAGAATAAATATTTTCAACAGAATTTTAAGAAGGTAACATAAGAATCGATGGAAGCAGGAAATAATGTTCACTAATTGAATTCACGAAAATTTCGCCAATCATCGTATGCGCATACAAACCAATTTAAACTTCCGATGACTTGGAATGAATAAAATAAAATTGGAATGAAACTACCGTATCAGTAAATTATATTCGGACTGAAACGGCTTGTATAGGATGAAGAAGAAGAATTCCTCATTTGGACTAGATTCTCACTCCACGGCAACCTGTTAAACTTTCTGTTCATAAGAAGGTAACACCTTTGACGATGTGAACAATAGCAGCAATGCAGTCCGACGATAATGTTCTCTCAATTAGCCGTGATCGAACGAGCCGGCAGAACCACGCATCCACTGTACGACGCAAAATTGGCTTCAAGCAGAGAACAACACTGAGGAAGGACGAGCCGAAAACCTTTGCGATCAGGTATACAGTCATCTCATACACCCCTTCAACTGGCATCACTTGGTCAACCCGGCTGACCTCACACGATAACGACCGGACCATGGTCGACTTCGCATTGTTCTCGTAGAGAGGATTTTCTAACCCATACCTGAAACATATCCACACAGCAGCGTATTGGAGTAACAGATTCACTAATACGTTTTTGCTAGTTTAACGCTGAGATAGAACTCTATAAACGCACCTTCGCAATTCGGCAGCTTCAACAGAGTTATCTCGAAATTCTAATTTGCTGGGACGAGGTTTGGGGGCTTCCGTAGATGCAACGAAAGAAGTCAGAAATGGTTCCAGGTTTTGCCCTCGTTCTTTGCGCAGCAATTTTTTCGGAACACTTCGAATCATGCGACGAAAATTTATGTCGGGAAACAAGCTGGTTGTGAACTCCAACTCGGTTTGCAAAAAAGCATGGATCAGTTCAGAACTGAAAAAAAAAAAAATGTCCATGTCAGCACACGTGCATCCACATTCCATCTATAACGACTGTATCATTTCTCACCCAGCAAGATCAGGAATCGCAAGCAATTTCGCTAAATAATCCTCGAGTGCAAGCCGACGAGACTCCATGTATTCCAAATTTTTCGATCCGAACGTGAATTTCGGCGGCAATCTCGTCGGCAAGTATCCATGGAACTCAGTTAATTTTGTTTCCAGTGCATAGAACTCGTTGAATTTTCGCTCCAGGACACGACTATGAGAACTTCCTTCCCGCACTTCTAACACGAACACGTAAAAGCTTTTTCCAGCCAGGTCCAGACGGTGTTCAACGTAAGGAATCTTGACAGTGAGAGACGTGAGATCTGGTCTGCTTCCGAAGTTTTCTGGCAGAATCACTTCTTCCAGGCCAAGTTCTTCCGGCTGAAATAGAGAAAAAAAAAATCGTAACATAGAAAAAAAAGAATGAGATCGTTCAGATGAAAATACATTCGGATCATGATCTACCGGAGAAATTGATCAACTGGAGAATCCAACTTTTTCAGTAATTGTGCATCACTCACAAGGCCAACTTCTTCGCTTTCGTCATCCTCCAGTCGCATTCCTTCAACAGGAGAGGGAGCTCTAATGACTCCTTTGATGCTTTCCAACTTCTTTTTCAGTTTCCCACTCGTGCGAAACGACCCCACTCTCTGCAGTTGTTGGTTCTTATTTAGGTCGTCTAGCCTCGGTCCCCAGAATAGCGAAAAATACTGAAATGCGGAAAGCATCAAGGTATCACTCGAGCTTTGATGCAGAGGCAGAGATGCTTTACGTACTACGTCAGTTTCTTGGAACAAGGGCGCATATTGTTTTTCCAAAATATTGTAGGCGAAATCATAACCCTCAAAAAGACACGTGGATGATCTGAGTTCAACAACTTTTTCCGTCGGACCGTGTAAAATATCTTCAAGACGTTCAACGATGGTCTTCGGAAATTCGATGTATTCCGCCGACTCCGGCCTGAAGTAGGTTCTGAAAAAACTTCAGTTTATTACTCAATTGAAGAAACGCATGGAGGTAGAAAATCACATACACCCACGGACCCGAAGTATGGCGAGACCAGAAAGGCCCTGGTCAGCGAGAAATCTGTTATACATTCTACTCATTGGCATACTCGGTTCGTAGTAACGACAAGTAGTTTTAGCGTGAGTGGATATTTCCAACAGCTACGTTTCAGTTTTCACTTTTCATTCCCAAGTTTCATCAGCGTAAGGCTTCTGCTGGTTCCTCGTTCACGACCATGAAGAAAGCGGCAATCGCCGATGAAAGTTGATAGGAATCAAATTTGAAATGCACCAAATCATGAGAACGCACTCGCTTCAGGTCAATGGAATCAATCACAAATGTGGACATATTCGGCGCAGATTTCACTACACTTTCGCACGAATTTCTTCCCGCGATCTGAAGTACACTGAAGACAGACCTCCAGGTATTTGATTCAAATGAATTAGTTAAGGATGACCCACCCGTGTAACTTCTCCAATTCGAGGCGAGCATTTCTCTTGCCACTGTCCGTCAGCTCGGGCTGGATAACCATCATATTCAAGTCATCCACGGCAAGAACGAACTGTAAAAATCGCACAGCTCCTTGATCCTTCAAGAACTGCATGAATTTGAAGAGGAGATTTTGATTCTTGAGAATGTCTTTTATCGACAGTGATGTCACTCGCCGCTCGTAAAATACTGGACGTCGTGATACAAATTTTGCCAGAAACTCCTGTGAAAATAGGAATAATAAGTTCTCCACGCAGCAATATGAACTAGGGACAGTGAAATCTCACAACAGGTTCATCGTGTCCCTTCGTTTGAGCAAATGGAGTTTCGCCATTCGAAAACGCCGAAATTATCCATTGATTGATCACATCCGGATCAGCTAAAGTATCCATTACTGGAGCAAGAATAGCATTGGCGAGAAGTTCTCGCACTACGCTGGGAACAATGCCCGACCCAGAATATTTCTTCCCAAGAAACTGCGAAACGAGCATTTGAGAAACCGCTCGCAAATACTGCATTTCTCCAGACCGACTCCTCAACGCCACGTGCAAATTCGGACCGTAGTACTTGAACGTGCTTCGCTCGATTCCAGTTTCTCTTTGCCCCGAATTTTGCGACACTACGCAAGCGTTCAGATGCCACAAAAGAGAAGGTAAAACTTTGCGAACGATGAACTCTTCGATGTTCACCTGCGCGGGAAAAGAAAACGGGACATTTTCAGAATACGCCTTTCAACAATTGGGAACCAGACAACACCTTTTTCAGCCGTCTCAGAATGATGCAAAATGCTCGACGAAGATACAGGCGTACTTCATTCACGAAACATTCGTTGTCGGAAAGGTTCTCATACCAGGCGTACACATGCTCTTTCAACGTCAACTCGAGAAACTGTAAAACGGTATTCATGTACAGTACAATAACTACATCATTAACTTAAACTCTCCCCGTGCTGTGATCTTCATCTATTTCAGCTTATAATTTCCAAATTACGTACCTCATCAATGGCATCGTCCAGATCACGAGCGACGAACAGATGTTTCCACGGATGAACACCTTCGATGAAAGCTTCTCCATGTTGACGGCGACATTCAGTCTTGTCGCAAACACCGCAAGTTCCGTCTGATAAATTCGGAACCGCATAGTTGTCTGTTTCTATGAAACTTTCTCGTTCTATGGAGTCTCTGGGATGATAGAAAGGCCAACATGATAAGCTTTCGCACACAAGGACAACCAATCAAAAATTTGCTTTAAAAAAAAAACAACAGCAAGTTGAAGTTCTCAAAGACGGTGAGAAACAGTTACTGAATGAGAACTGAACTGCGCAAGAAAACTCACGAAAAAATTGCGTGGGTAACCGCAAGTCCTGCGGTAAAGCTCAGCAAAAGAATGCATAGCGATGCTGACCTAATGAAAAGGAAGATTAAAATAAAAAATCACGATAATTTTCTTGACCTGCATTCAACATCCTCTTCCAAGCTCACGAGAAAGTTCGTTTATAGTGAAGATATCAAATCAATAATCAGATCATACCCGATACTGGCTTCACCTATAGCATCACCAGATGGTAGTGATACGAACATCAACTTCCACAGTGTAATGATACAGTAATGAAGATTAATGTCTTCTTTTCGTGCGAAAAACTCCCAGTTTGAATGGATGCACAATATCAACTGTCAATCATGAAAAATAATTCGAAGAAAGTTCACAAGTGGTGGACAGATAAACTACTTCGGATAAGTCATTCATCTTAGTCCAACCATTGTCGTAGAAATTCGCGAACTTCAAATTAGATCGCTTGAGAATTAAGAATGATGAGCAAGAAAGATAAAGTGGATTGAAATAATGTACAATATATATATATATATCGATACACTTACCCTAAAATAAAAAGGATCACGAAAAAGACGAATCCAATAACGCCCAGGAACCGAAGAGAAATTCTGCTCTCTTTTATATCGCAGAACAAAGACTTGTATGCTGCCGTTACCGCATCCGCCGTCAAACGAAAAATTCCGAAGTCACATTCCATTACTTCATCACTCCTTCATTAGAAGAACACAAGAAAAAACGGAGATTAAGAATCAATACTAATAAATACGGAAATTAAAGATCACTGAAGCATCCATCGTGAATTCAATAAGATGCTATTGCTGTACAGGTGCAACTGCGTTTTTCACTTTTCAAACGACGATACAGGGTTTCAGAAAAATTCAGCTCAACATCACATCACAAAAATGTTTCATTACTCTTCACTCAATAAAATTTTCTTCTTCCGGTTTTGATGTCCCTCGACACCGCGAAAACCAAAATACCAAAGATTTGTCTTTCCTCTTCAAAACAACCCACAAAAATTAAAAAAAATAAAACTTCTCAACCAAAAGCGATTATGATAATCCTACCGATCGCAAGAATTTCCCACTGAATGAGTGTCCGCAAACGGAAGCAGTCCGCGTCAACGATTTCTGTTTGAATCGAACAGAAGACCAAAGCGGCTACTTCAGCAATTTTTCGCTTTAAACTATATAGAACATAAAACTTTAGGACAGAATAATCACCACGAAATTAAATTACAGTAAATGCAAAAATCCAAGAATTTCCACAAATTTGATTGCTAATTTAAGGAAATGGAACATTTAAATAATGCGTAATTCTCCTTTAGGTCTTGGGATTTTATTGCCAAAATGTCAGCACGAAAATCAAGTCGAAATGTTTCGGAAGATGCGATGCGGAATGGAAAACGTTTCAGGACCCGAGCTTATGGGCATCGCTATGTAATTGATCAATAGCACCGTTTTCGCGAGCTCCATTGCTGACATTTTAAAATTGGAAGATCGTGTGTCACCAATTCATGACTTCATTCGATCGAAGAACTGCGAGATGACTTCGGCATCGACCCACAAGAAGGACGGCGAAATTTTCAACGATATTCACAATATCTTCAATCTCGCTCACGTGGGTAGATTTTCATCACGGTCAAGGGAGATTCTACAGATGAGTCATCGTGAAGCAGCGATTCACACCTTCTGTAGGCATTAAGCAGCTGGAAGAAACTTCGCCGACGGGTAAATCCTGTCAACGAACTCCAGAGGAACCCCAATCGCCTTCAAAGTTTTCTTCGAGTGTGTGGCCAGTGCTCCCCCGTTGACAGTGGTTAACACGTCCCAGCACATTTCCGCCAACGATGGCACACGAACCCACATATAGTAAAGCCCGTTCGTTCGTTTATTTTCTCTGTCGTATCCTTCTTCTTTTACACCTCCGAAAACGTACATCTTTCCAGCCTTAAAAAAGAAAAAAAATTAAAATACATGTACCACAGAGGAATTCCATACAAATTACAAAAATGAGAATGAACTGAAGTTTCTTTGACAAATAAAATAGGATCCTTGAAAGGAAAATAACGAATTTCGTAGGCGAATTTTGCAGTGAAAAGTTTACTACGGTAATACGAATTTTCCCAACTTCCAGAAAGGTAAAGCGCTCGCATTTCCATCAATAGAATTCGCTTCGTACAATATACTGTACAATATTTTTACATATTTTCGATATGCCCGTTTGGCTTCCAAGTTTTAACCCATGAACAAACTTAAAGAAGAAAAAGCGAAATAAATCGTGATCAATGAAGGAGGAACGAATGGGACACGGCTAATAACTAACATATTGTAAACCCGGAAAACAGAGAAGAATTTCAAAATAAAAATTATCCATTGTCAAGAGTGGAAAACGAAGAAAACTCACCGGTGTTATACAAGCTGAATGGAAGTAGAGCCCACACGGTAAATAGCACGACAATTCGGTCCACTCCAAGGTATCAAGATTGAACCTCCAAACCATCGTAAATCGTATTCGGTCAGGATCACAGCCACCACAAATGTAAATCACTGGAAATGAAGAACAGCACTTCACAAATCTTGGCTTTGTAGATACCACGGAATTTTCATCGCAATTATGCGGCATACCAGGAAACTTACTGTTCTCATTTTGCACCAAGGAATGACATTTCCGACTCAACGGAAAACGCTTGGTCACAGGATCAGCATGAGTGATTGTTTCTTTCCAGTCATTGGTGATCAGAGAGAACACTGGCACGATACTATGAATTAACATTTTTCAAGCTTGCATCAAAAACCACAAGTATTTGAATATAAGCTTTCAAAGTATTCCAACACAATCACAATTAGATGCAAGGAAAAAATCGTCTCTAAATCCATCCTAGTAATTTAACGTCATTCAATTTGAGCTTCTTCGAAAAGAGATACCGAAAAAAATCTTGAATGATTTTCAAGAAACAAAGAATCTACGGTACTTCCAGAGACATTTCGCACGGAATCCACGATTTTCTTCGCTTCCGACTGCATTAATTCATGATTCAGTATTTCACGCCACAAACGAACATACTCCAAGACAAATATGACATAAATTTTTCCACGGAAATTTTTCAAGACAAAGGTCTTTCACACATAATGCCTGCGACGAACAGGCACGACGGAAGTTTGATAGTGATACTGTACCATAAAAATTATTTTCGAGACTACATATTCATTTTTCGGTTCTTGAAATAAAAGCAAGATGGCATAAATGCACGCATATTACGCAAGCACTTTATACTGCATAAGTCAAGGCAATCGTTTGAGTACGACAAAAACAATTACCGAGAAGGCCACGTCAATTAAATTTGTTTCGAGTTCAAGTCCACGAATTCAAACAACCACGCTTTGGCTCAAAAAACAAGACAAAAACAAGAAGCAATGACATGGTCTAAAAGAGTTTAAGTCAATACCATAATTCGTAGCTGTCTTCAGCTGTGCCTCCGCCGAACATCCACAAACTGTTTTTGTAAAACACAACCTCATGACGATATCGCGGCTTTGGCTGAAGGGGATTCATGGACCACAAATTCTTCCACTCCATTGTACTCATGTCCAAAACATCAACGTCATTCGAGTACATGTTCCCACCCGTTCCACCAATGACGAACAACTTGTTTCCGTTTATCGCAGATCCTTGACCATACATTTGATGCGGTACCCTACCCGAGCACTCCACAGTATGCCATGACCGTTTCTCCAAATCGAAACACGACAAATGGTTCGATGAACTGTATCCGAACTGAGGACCAGAGCCTCCATAAACGAAGAGACGATGGTTTATCTTGAAGAAGCAGTAGGATACAGCGGCTTCTGGAGGAATGCCAGATGCAACTGGTATCCGTCGCCATAATTTTGTGGAGAAATTGAATGCCCAAAGCTAAAAATTAAAAAATTTCATGATTGAAATGAAATGCTCGAAAAACATAACCACCACACAACGACGAAACCTAAGTTCGAAAATCACATGAATTTACACCAACAACAGCAGATTGCAGGTGGACTGAACTCTTTTTAATGACTTACATCTCGGAACGCCGGGTGAGATTGAGCCCAATAAGGATCATGAAGTCGAACAGGATCATTCACGGACACTTCTGGATTGTAGCCACCGAAGATGTACAAATGCCCGTCATCACAAACAGCTCTGTGACCGCTTCGAGGTTTTGGCTGATCATCATTTCCACTGACACCAGGTCCAGTATCTATCAAAACAGTTTTTTTTCAATAAGGAAAATGGATGAACGGGAATTAAAAACTCACGTTCTCCGGGGAGCCTAAAAATCTGGAGAGGATAAACAGCGATTGAAACATCAAGCGAAATTTCACTTTCGTCAAGAATTTGACCCTCCATCTGCTCACAACATAAGCCTGCAAATGAAATATACGAAGTAAAAAGTCCAATCCACGAATGAAGCGCTTCCGCCGGTTCTGAACCACAACTAATTTGAATTAATGAACGAATTTCTCACAATGATAAGCGCAGGAAAACGCAATCACATGGACATTCACGATCTTTACGGAACATCAATAATCCCTGGAATCAAAACTGCACGACCGTGTCAGATTTCAGGTAAATTCCCAATCCTTGTCTCAGGTAGCAACAGCAATGAATATCATCACCTCGATCTTCCACTCGGTATTAAAAAAAAGCTTTCGAAAGAAAATGCCCGTTTCGAGAATATAAATGCTTCAAAATAATCTCAACATGAAAAAACTTCCATCAATCTCAACATCGAACACCAAAAGATGAATACTGCGAAGTGCACCAGCCAGAAATATGCCCCTCCTCCTTCAAAATTCAACATGCGAAGGATCATCGACGTATTGCGATGTAAAGCAGTCGTTGAACATCTGTTCCATAAACGTGAATCAACATACTTTGGTGCAAGAAAAGCTTCGATAATTGCAATTTGACCAGGAAGAAAAACCATCATCCCCGCCGACATAAAGCGCCACGATTGAGCAATTCCCACGCAAGGAACGCATTTAGATTGAGGACGTTTTAGATAAGTTCTTCGGTACGAAAAGCAGATGTGAGCCGGCGGGTGACACACTTCGTTCGATTGGTACTCGAACTTTATGAACCTCAACACCGGGATCGTTGACAACGTTAGCATTCTCTTCTTCTGCTAAGGAATGATGGTACTGCTGGAAGCAGGGAACGATGCACAGATTTGCTCTGCATTTTGGACACCAATATTTGGTCTTCCGACGCTGGACTCGTCCCTTCTCATCCACCTTATTCCAGCAATAATCACAGCTCACAGCTGAACCGTATCGACTTTCCGGACAGTGGTGAGCTAGAGATGGTGTGGAGATCACTAGAGCGGATTCTACACCGGGTACCGACGGTTGTTGACTCGTCGAGAACATTACATGCATCTTCGTTCTTCGCTCATTGTGTGAGGACATGTTCGAGCTCTGCAAAACCAAGGAACACACATGCAATAAAATGATACATAATACCATCAGAGGTCAAGAAATGGTAAGAATCTTACTGAAGCAGTAAGTTTTTATTCGGAAAGCATTACAAATAATGCCAAGAGAGCCAAGTTCGACTTATTCATCAGCATTCATAACAATGACGAATCCTTCGCAGATACGCGGGATCTTTGACTGATAACCCAGCAGAAAATCACAAATTGATGTTACCAACTAATGCCAGGCAATTTTTCCTCAGAAATCAAGTTCACGATGGATCATGATCACTAAAAACGCTTCCCAGGTTCACAAGGGCTACTTCCGTGATACAAGAAGCCCCGGCGTTCTTAAAATTGTCATGATCAAGTCAGACCCCAAAGAAGCTAAGATTTCTGTGCCGTTTACAAGAAACAGTTTAAAACGGGAGTCAAACTTGGCGGCACTGACGTTCACAAATTTCAAGACGAGAGCGTTCTGTAAACGTAGTTGACTTTCTTATATACTTATGTACAGTACTTAAAACTTTTGGAACTCTCTAAAAATTAAAGAGTCAATATTATACCTCAATTATTCTCAGCGTTGACGGAGAGGAGGGAAAACTGACCATGGCTGTAGCACCTTCATCAATGGTCAAATCTTTCGAAGAAGAGTCGGAGTCTGGACTCTGACGGGATAACGCCAGTTCACGCGATGGACTAGATTTCCGAGCACAGATCACTTCCCGTGGCCTAGACTCATCATCCGGAGTGACAATTATTGCTGGGCTTGGACGAGGAAATTTTCGAACAGCATCTTCGGCATCCAATTCCATTTGCCTCTGGATTCGCGGTTGCCGTTGAAGCATCCGACGATGCTTGGAAGCGTAGTTGGGAATCTTTGTAAAATAAAATCGTCTGTCTCATGAATGACCCAATCGTATCGAAGCTTACGAACCGGACTTTCAGCGCGATCATCTCCACTATATCGCAATGGTCCAGGATCCGAGCTTTGAGTCTGGATCACAGGACGACAAGTTCCCGGATTGAGAAAAGAAGATTCCACATTGCTCGTCTGCCTCGAAGGAACAGCGACGATTGAAGCACTTCTCTTCGAATGAACTTCGACAGTCTCGTTCGATGAACTGCGATCTCGTCTAAAAAAGTTGGTTCACTGAAGTATCATATTTTCAGAACAACCAGAAGAATGACCTACCCAAAATCTTTTCGCAGTCGTTTTCTCAAAGGAATTGACTCATGAGGCGGAGAACATTTATCGTCAACTGAAGTTCGAAAGGAATTATCAGGAACAGAAGCGTTTACATCCGACGGATAATTGATGACGGTAAATTGGGGTGACACTGAAGGAACGACAGCAGAAGGAACTTTCCGCTTAGCAACCAACTCTGGACTTGATAACGATGGCACTTGGTCATACTCTGAAGATTCTGAGAGGTGAGATGAGCTCAAACTACATCCTTGTACGGAGGACGCAGATGAAGAAGAAGAATGCCACATCGGCATGCGCTTCCCAGAATGCGGAGCTTTTCTTGTCTGCTGACCAATGCCTTGGTTCATAACAGCATCACCGAATCCATTGATTCTCAATAAACGGGCAGTCTAAAATTCAAGTTGAAGTCAATTTGATGTATAACAAAAACACCTGATTCATCCTACCTTCAGAACAGCGGACAATTTATCATCCGGAACTTCGACTTCCCCTTTGTACACAAAATCGATAATGATCCGTAGTTCATCGATGGAAACATCTTTGAGAATGACAATCGGATGTTGACAGGGATTTTGAGTGAACAAAGCCTGTAAAAACGGAAGCATGATAGGCAGTTTCACCCAGAAAATGTTTGCTTTTGGAGTGTACCTGAAAATAGACAGATGATGTCGCGAGAACAAGCTTGTGCGCTTGAATCTGTACGCCATCGGCGGCCAGGGTAACATCAACCAACATTTGCGAATTGAACAAATTGCATGATGCTGATGATATGTTGGTTGGGTGCTTACTCCAGCGAACACAATACGAAACTGGTGTAACCATGCTCATCGTCACAGACGATCAACGGGAGAGAATTTCCACGTCTCGAAAGCCCAATTACGCGTCATGAAGAAACTTTCAAAAGCCCAGTCGCCATGAAGCACATAGCTGCAAAATGTTCGCGGGAGTAGGCGCTGTCCCACTCTAAGTTCTTACTTTCTAGCTTCTACACACGCTGTCACGACGCTTCGCGGTGATCTATCTGTAAAATTTACCAGTACCGCCATATTTGAAAGTACTGTTTGGCTTGAGTCATAGCTCGAATTACAGTGAATGCCCGTCTGACATGACGTGCCCAATCCGAGGGTCATGAACACGTATATACATAGAGTAATACAACAGATCAACACATAAATTTTAATAGTATGAAATGTATGGGATGAACTCTTTTATGCCATTAATTAAACACATTGGTTAAAACTGGTTTTTTATGTCTTTGCTTCTGCGGTGTGTGTATCCCTCCCATCCGTTTGGATTCCAGGCATATATGAGTACTGTATCTAACTGTGCATCACGGACTAATGTTTCATACTGCAGTGTAATTCCTTCCTACGTAATGCAGGAAGAATTCAAGATATTTAACAGCCTAAGTCAACAGAATCCAAAATCTTGATTTATGAAGTTTTTGAGCCGGGAAAACCTTTATTTTTCTTTTAAAATATTTCCAGAATAATCTATAAGGGAAATGTGTGCTTGTCTGGACCCTAGAGAAAAACATATTTATTGGTCAACACTATTACATGGATGCTTTGATATGAACAATAAGATGCTGAATGTCAAAACTATGTATAGAGGTTATTCCTCTTAAATTATGGAACACAGCATGGAGTTTGAAACATGTATTGCTTTCTATTATTTCCTTGGTCTTGCTCACATATGAATAGTATGGCTGAAATACAACTCAGGATATTCAAGTTGTGGAGGTTAGAGGGGGAATCATATATAGGGTGGGCCAAAAAAATTAACTGATTTTTCACTTGAAATAGCTTGGTAGCAAATTAAGCTATGGCAATGGAAAAATCACCAAATGAAAGCTTGTTCAATTCTCTTTCAAAGGGCATGCGGTTTTATGGTTCCAAGTGTCACAGAATGGTCACAATAGACATTTGAATGAAAACTTTCAAAAAAAGTTTTCAGGCAAGTTTTCCCACTAAGCTGCTGTTCTGGAGAGCTGTTTGCATGAATAAAGGAAATACAGGATGAAATAAATTAACCAGAAAACTTCATGCAGTCTTGGAGAGTTTGCACGTGTTCCAAACTTGTTACAATGCATCTCATTATACTGAATCTCAGAATAATAAATGATCAATTACAGTGGCTCCCTGCCTAATGTACCTCATGCCAAACAGATTTTTGCCCAACAGACTTTCTCTGGGAGTCTGGGGTGATTTTCCCTCTCAAACAACAGACTGAATCCGTCTAAGAGACTTCAGTCCAGAATGCACACAGTTTTTGTTTTGTTTGTTGCTGTTTCTTCCTTAAATTTGGAAAAAATTAGGGGATGAGTTTGAGACTGTTTTCCTTATATGCTTTGGGAGCTTTTCATAAATTTATACTGTATTTTCTTTAATAAATGTCTGGTCTTCAATATAGAGGATTCTCACTAATTCAGGTAAAGTCTCAAAAAAGTTTGTGGTTATTAATCTGAAAATTTTCTGAATGGAAAATCCCTTACAGACCAATGCACAGGTGGACTCTCTGCAATGATCTTGCCTACAACTGTGTATAATGAACATTTCTTTTGTCCCAGAGGGTTATGTCTCCATATCATATTTGGTCACTACAATGATTTTGTCTCCACAAACAATATTTTATGTTCTCTTGAATTTTGTTTTAGAGGAAGACCACCTGTACCAAGAAATAAAGATAATACCCCTTTCTCATCAGCAATTTTTAATGCATTCATTTTAAATAATCCAAGAAAATTTTGCAATCTAACATTTTTCCCCTGAGGATTTCCATTTTTCCCTTCCTTCTTTTCCTCTTGTTACTCAGTAGTCCTGGGTGTTTTAAATGACTGCCAGTCCTTTTCAAATACCAAGGAGGAGGAAAGTCAAATATTTTTAATAAACCCCTTGAGTTTTCATTTGAGAATATACAGTATGGCTTTTACTTAACATTTTCAAACTGAAACTGGATTAAAATTTTTAGCATGTAAACCTATGGGGAAACTGAACTTGCCTAACAGACTTTTTGCTTTAAGGACTAATCTGTGGCACAAATTAATTCCATTAGGCAGGGGGTGACTGCACCATGAGTTTGTTGTCCCTGTCCAGTATACCAGCAATGTTATTAGCATATTATACAACACATTTTTCATTACAACAAATTTATTTTACAGCCTGTTTCAAAATAAATGGCTTCCATATTGTAGCTAGATTATGAACTGATGTATTTCAGAAAAGGCACTTTATATTCCATGCAAACATATTATTGGAAAAATACTTTTCAGCCATCCCCACTTTCATATAATGAGTACTGCTGTACTCCTTGAAAAACATCTTCTACTCCAGCTAGAAGCAGTCCCAATGCTGATGCAGTGAAATCTGATGCTATGCGGTGATGCAGTAATTTCCAGAATAATGGCATGTCTTTGATGGTAATTTTACACCTGATTGTGCCAACACCTGATGGGCTGCCCAAATTCCACAATCCAGGCATTCTTCCAGGGTTCCACCAAGTATATCCTTGGCAATGAATCCTGAAAGAAGAGATAAACAATGTAGCTATAATACAGTACTTGCAGAAAAAATTTGCCACACTGCAAATGTATAGAAAAAAACTAGAAATACGACTGCATGTATATACTGTATTACATAATGTATTATACTACAGTACAGTATTTAGTACAGTATATACCGGGTGAGCCAGAAAACAGAAAACCAGTAGTTAATTTACAATAGCTCAGTAGCAAATCAAACTGTGGCAATAGGGAAAAAAGATGCCGAATGAAAGCTTGTTCAATTCCCTTTGAATGGTACATAGTTTTTTGGTTCCAAGTGTCATTGTGTGGTCACACAAATCATTTGAAGGAAAACTTTCCAAACCAAGTTGTCAGGCAACTTCTATCATTAAGCTGCCATGCTTTAAAGCTATATGATTACGGATAAATGATGCACAGGACAAATAACTTAAATTGCACACTTGCTCCTGAGCCTTCAAGAGGTCGCATGCATTCCCAAAAAGTTTAGAGGTGGGGGAGAGAAGTGCAACAAAAAATTGAGCAGTTGGATGTTGCTCCACCCCCAAATCCTGATGCAAGCTTGCTGGGTGCCAGCCTAATGGCTCCTGTGACCACCTGAAAGCAAATTTTTCCTAGATGACTGGATTTCTCAAAATTTGTTTTACTCATTAATCACGATGGCCATCCTTCAAGTTTTCCAGCATTGGACAATTTTGATTAGTTCCCTTTTCTTGATCATCACAAGGAGAATTCATCAAAAACACAAAATCATCCAAAGAAGAATGAAAATTTCACTTCTACAGATGAAAATGCTCCATGTTGATGACACATTCACCTGCCAATTGTAATTATTAATGAGTGAAACTGATTTTGAGTAATTCAGTTATACTAAAGAAATTTTCATGCAGGAGGTCACAGGAGCCAACAAGGCTGGCACAGCACAGAAATTTTGCATCACTGCTCATTTTTAGTTGCATTTCTTACTCCCACCTCTTAAATTTTGGCATGCGCCATCTTGAAAGCAGGAGCAAGTGTGTTATTTAAGTTATTCATCCTGTACCTCAATAAAATATCTTTAAAACAGCATGACAGCTTGGAGGTAGAAGTGACCTGACAACATTTTTTTGAAAAGTTATCATTAAAATGTTTCTTGCAACTACACCATGATACTAGGGACCAGAACACTGATGTGTACCATGCAAAAGGGGATTGAACAAGCTTTCATGTGGCATTTCTTACATTGCCACAGCTTGATTTGCTACTGAGCTATGGTAAGGTAAAACCGGTTATATTTTTCCTGACCCACCCTTTATGCATGTCTAAATACAGCATAACTCAATCCCATCAATCATAATTCAGGTATTATAATGCTGTGGCAAAGCATCAGCAAAATATTCCGATTCATTCTCTATAGCATTGTGATACAACACCTTTATAAACGCATGCCTAAATTCACAGTACAGTATTGATCGAGTGAATAACTGATGAAAAAAATGTTCTATTCCATAAACCTTTGAAAATTCAACATGTATTTTTAAAATCCATTCCATCGCCATTCCATAATCAGTTGAAGAAAAAAAATGTCACCTCCAATGAATGCATCTCCGGCTCCGTTGCTGTCCACGACTTTTTCCCTTGGCAAACGAGGGATCGGGAAGTGCTTCACATCATGATCCCCAATGAAAACGGAAATAGGATGTTCGCCTCTGGTCACCAGAACTCGGAATGGACTCGCCCATTTCCGTCTCCTTTTATTGGCAATCTCCGAAGCGATCTTCTCGAAATCCGTCGACTGATGCATTCCGAGGGCTTTCCCAAACGCTTGAAATTCCTTTGAAAAGTTAAGCCTTTGCATAGCATTTCACGCGATTAAAAAAGACTTGAATCCGATTAAATATTTCCATTTAATTTGCGTGTATCGAAATTTAACCAGTAAAAACTAAAATAAATGAGAGTGATGGAGAATTTTATACTGTTGAAACATGCTCGATCAATTCCCCCACATATTTTGTCACATGGATAGAGAATAATGATTATACTTTCATAGATTTAAGCTTTATATTTTAAGGCGCACTGAATGTTTAAATAAATAGGTTTGCACGGTGACGCTTGAATCTTATTTGTACTGTATATATTTTAGAAATTTCATTCGATAGTTCACGTACCGACTCATTCCCGACTAAAATGTTCACACAATCCAGCAAGTCGAGGATTTCAGTTGAATGTTTTCTGCAGATGAATGTCGCAGCAAGATTAAAGCAAAACGTTTTGTCGGTTTCTTTTGCATGTTCGGCCACCTTCCGAACTGTTTCCAAACTGGCATCCAGAAAAAATCCCTGGATCGAAGAAAGTTAAAGAAATAGAAGCAAAATACCTAGAGGTAAAAACATAATAAACAGAATCATCTCCCAGATTTGAACTTACCGAAACATAGAAATAATCCGCATTTTTAACTTTGTCCCATTCCCTCAGGATGTGGTCGACGGTAAAATGATTCGCTGCTCCCAGAGTTGCACACAATGAACGATTTCTTCCGGAATCTGTTATCACTACACCACACAAACCTGCCAATATTTTTGAAAAACCAAATTTCACTATAGACCAGAATTAATCGTGAATGCCAAAACTCAATAGGGATGCGCACTCAATGCGAATACGGCACAGGTTTTTTTTTTCCAACAGACATTGAATGTGTTTATAATCGGCTAACCTGTAGGATGTGCTGAAGTAATTTGATAGTGGACATCAACGCCATCATTCTCAGCTACTTTTGTCAAAATACTTCCGTTCTCGTCGTTTCCTATGCACCCCATGAAGCACGTCGCTCTTTTCAGTCCAAGAATCCACTGAAGAAAAAAGAATACGCATGAAGGATTATATCCATGAGTGCGAAATTCCACCGTCCAAAACACAGTACTGCACACACTTGGATCTACTACACTAGGGTATTTACCGTACATTCATGCCTCATTTGAATAGACAAAATAGTTATAAAATGCAATTATCATGAGCAAAAATTCCAATATTGCAATACAGTACAATATCCCGTAGGATTCTTTAATTTACTGTGCACAAAAATTAGACAAAGAGTTTTTCCATATGAAGCCCTATGCGCTGCTGAATACCTTCGTATTGTGATAACACGTGGTACTTATGGTGAGACATTTTTAGCAAATTATTGTGGATTTAAAAAAATCAACAATTCCCATACTGTATAAAGATGATCTAAGCTAATTTTAAAGAAATGACAAAATCTCCATTATTCCGATGTTTTTACAAAAGTCAGCTTTGCCTCAGCATTTCTTATTCATAAATGTAGGCTATTGTTAATTTCAATATGTCTCCAATTTCTTTAGTTCATATCATATACGAATTTAAATTGAAGTTCTTAAATGAATTCAAATAAGAATACAGTACTGCATGTGCCAAAGTTTAACAAAAGGATTTGAACAGTATATTCTGTACAGTACTTTATATTGTAAACTTAAAAAGCTGAATATTGTATTGTAATTTGAAACATTTGGGCTTATTGCTGATCTATTGAACAATTTCTCTCCACTTATTCAGCAAGTTTTGTTAAAAATCAATTCAAATATTTTTCATCAGGCACTCTGGAAGGAATTTGCTTTTTACTGACCTGAGATATGCGTACAGAATTTTGCGTAGCTCCTCCAGCAGTAAACTGAACTCCTTCCATCCGCTTCAAATCCTCAAACATCTTATATTGTTGCGACTTAACCAAAACGGCATCATTCGGTTTCAAATCATACTTGTCCAGGAAAGTTTTGTCGCTTTCCACGGTGATGTCCAGCAAAGGATTTCCAAGACCAAGAAGTACCCCTTTTCTAGATGAGCGAGATAATACAGAAATATTTTTTATTAGCAGTAATCAAAGTTTATCATTCAAAGCGGTCCCGAAGAAGTAGACAAAATTTGAAACAGGGAACAACTTTCGCACGATGATTTGATAGAGCTGTACAGTATACCACTAGATTTAAATTTTTTTAGATACAGTATACGTACTTAATATATGCTGTCGATTCGAATTGAGTACAGTATATACGGTATACAGTATTTGCGATGATGTTGATCAAACGGCGATACCATCTGCGTGTTATGATATACTGTACTGAACAACTATGACCACCTAAGAGGAACACCCACAAGAATATATGATGGTACAGTACAACCATGCAAGTTTTTTTCAATTTTGCATTTTTATTCTTCTAGAATATCCTCTGATTCGAGTAGATTTGAGATTGTCTTCCTAACAACAGACACCAATCCAAAACAATGTTTGAATAAGCTGCGTCTTCTCGAACGCTTTTCATCAGCAGTTACAGCATACGATTTTTTCTACGCGATTGAATACGCTTCTGTTTTCAGAGAATCCTCTTCTGTCAGCAATGGAATAAGAAAAAATTGGCTGTAATTCAGCAGCCCAGATTCAGTAAACTTATACGGAATCAAAAATAGAATGCGAGGATATAAATCACTTGGGCAACTTTTCCCTCATTACTTTTTCGGCAAGTTAAACGCCGTATGATAGAGAATTTCATTGAGAATACAGGTACACTGAACTGATGACTTTTAATTTTCGAAGTGTATTTGGGTGCAACTTTTTTGGAATTTGTAGCTGTTTGAATATCTGTCTACTTTTTCCAGGCCCTCGATACTGTATACAGTATATACTGTAGTACTGTATTCAATTTTTTAACTCACTTCAATCGCATCGTCGTTTCGTTGAATTGATCCACCTGAAAAATCCAATCGCGTCTGGAGGTTCAAGGAGGGGGAAAAGTGAAGAATCCAGAGAAAATTATTTTCTCGGGTAAACGGGTTTCACAGGGACGAACAACTTCGTGATTTGGGAATATTCACGTAACACCAACGCAGCTCAGTATTTAGTTGATACAGCTGGTATTTCTGTTTTACTCTTCACTGCCTTGTAAAGTGCACGCATCGCAATCACAGCAGTGTAAACAGAGCTCCGCCAATGTTCTGTCGCAAACAGAACTCCGCCAATACTGAGCATGAGAACATTGCGGCGGTTTAAATGAATAGCACGGTTAAGGGAATTCCGAGAAGTTGACCTTCTTGTGCTGCGAAAGAAAGGGTGATTTTGCATTTTTTTAAATCATAGATGCCAGGGCCACTTTCAGAAGAGCAAGGAAGAAAATATTAGCCGAAGCATACGAAATGTCGCTTAATTGTCGTTCCCTTTGAAATTCGGAAGGGGGCTTCACTTTCACCAAGTTACAACTGTGGAATTTTTTGAACTGGCGTTGTCTTCTGCACCAGGATTACGCTTGTGCGTTTGTTTACAACAGCAGAATCGCTCATCTCTCCATTTACGCAGAGAGGATGTTTAAAACAATTTTGCAGGCGGGGGTTCCGATTTCCTACTGTTCTGCGTCGCTGTCAAACTTTTTTATTATGTCTCACATATGCCGGTTTTTTTTTTTTCTCCTAGAGAAAAAATGAAAACGAACCTCCCTTCTTGGAGCTTTAAAAATAATGCAAGGGGCATGTCAGAAGTCCGTCATGTTACAAATAAATTTTATGGTGTGGGATGAATACTGTATTCACGGTGAGAGTGGTCCGTGTACAGATTCTGTTGAAGAGGGAGCAATAAGAAGTCCTCATTGGGGGGCGAAACGACAAAATGAAGTCTCGTCTTCAACCCCTGCTGAGAAGGGAGTGATGAACTTTGTGATTGGTGGGCGCAAGGATGGTGATGCCCACACAGGCGTGACTACGGTGTATATCTACAGTACACTGTACACGTATATATTGCACTCGAGTGGCAAGCACCGCCCTCCAGTGAGACACCGCACCAGCAGGATTTTTAGTGATTTTTCGAATAAAATTGGATTTCCTCATAAGACGTGCAATCCATTTTTATGTCATTGTGTGACTCTGAAACTGCAATATTTCAAACGTAAGGGCACCCAAAGTTGAATTCAAACACAAACTGATCCTGAATTCAAAAAATTTTCCATTATTGCTTCCAATATGATATCATTTTACAGTTTAAATTTGGCAAACATTTTTCATCAGGATCAAGTATCATGAACACCTAAACTTCTAGAACTTGAATAATGTATACCCGCCCATATAATGATACGCAACACGTTTTTCCCTTTAATTTTGTGAAAAAATATGCGAGTATATAGTACTTGAGTGAATACGGTATACAGCATACTGTAGCTGGATATTTTTTCCACTTTTAATACTGTACTCTCCTATAGTGATCTCAGCACGCACTGCAAAGTGCAGTATGGATAAATGGTAAATATTGTCTGGATAAAATTGGATCCAAATAAAATGTGCAGGGTGGCAAGAATAATGAGCATCAAATTCATTATTAAGAATTAGAAAAACGTGTATACAATAATTGTATCTTATTGTGCGATTACAATGCAACTTATTGAGCCACGGCCCATTACTGCACTTTCTGGGCCAACCTGCCAAATATTATTGAAGCCACTGTAATGCCGGGCTTTTTTCTTGTGCAATAATCCTGTATAGTACTTTATACAGGTTTTAGTACTTTTATATATTGTGGAACAGTCAACATAATTCATAACTACAGTGTTTCCACAAAACAAACACAGAAATTTATGTTTTTTAAACTATTTTACATTCTCATCATTGTGCTCAAAACACAGCAGAAATCTCTGCAAGATGCAGTATATGGGCAAACTCTCTACAACAGTCATTTCTACAACAATTTTCTGTGTACAACAAAGATGTTGGTCCCACAGCAAGGGTTATCCTCTAAATATGCAACAAGGGTTATCTAAAATGAAATTCTCCGAAAACAAAAATTTGGGCCTTTGAATTTTGTTGTATAGAGATGAGAGGCAAATTCAAGAAAAAATATTTTTTCCTTTTTCTGTTATAGCATCAGGGTCCATATGTCGGATCATTGTCCAGATGAGAATGGATACTTTTGAAATTCAAACTGCCTGAAGCAAACACTCCAAACTGGTCCCCATGTTCTGGCTCATTGTGTTGATAGTTTATAATACAGTACAGTACAAATGTACAATACAGTACTACTGTGTACACTGTACAGTATCATAACTTGCCAAATTGATCGCATCCAGCTGTGACTCTGTGGAGTATGTTGTGCAAGGACGCATATGGCGATTTCCGTACTTCTTCAGACCTGTAGCGCCGATGTGGGAGCCTGAAAAATTGGTTAATACCAATGCATGAACGCCCCTTTATTGACTTTAATGAGTGTTCTCGATTCGCGCTCATTCGTTCTATGGCGGAAAATGTGAAAATTAAAATAAGGATGAAGCGACCACATAAAGCTAGGCCTGCAAGGGTATCTAAGATTATTCTCCGAGTTCATTAAATATGAACGCATCAGCATCGTGGCTGGAGAAACTGGCATTATTTCATACTCGCTGCAGCTCAAGTTTTGATATCATTGAAGTTGTGCCAATTAAATTGAATATGGTTTCATTCGTATTTGCCCTAGTTTTGCTATGATTGTTCTAAGAATTACCAGAATATATGGAACAATCTTTTCTAAGTGAAGGGTGTTGTGAGTTTGAATTGGGTAATCTAATGAGCATTGCTGTTTGCTTACTATCTTCCGGACTTGTAAAGAGAGAAATTTCATGTCATTTTGTTCATAGATAAATTCATCCCATAGGGATAATGGGGCAAGCGATGGGTACGTATGTAAACCGGCGTATATTGGATCCCGAATATACGCCCAACCAAGACGAATTCACAAGGATAGATCCACAGTATGGCTTTCTGGAGGGCCGTAAACCTCGAGGTGAAACATTTCGTCTCTGTTATTGAACGCTGATGATAATGATAATGTTTCTGTTGCAGTTATGGTCGCCACCGTTGAAGAGATGGATGCTGCGCAGATTGCTCCCAGAAATCGCGATTATTGTGCTCATTATTTGATCAGATTCAAAGCGTGTAAGAAACGGAACTTTCCATTCGTTACACGCTGCAGTCATGAAAAGCACGATTGGGATTATTGCCTTTACGAGGAGTACGCCGAGTTTTGATGCGGTAATTGGGACGAAGTCTAATTTTTTTCCTTTATTTTTCAGTTTCGTCCTTCGAATGAAAGAATTTGAGCGTGAGAAACGTCTGCTGCAGCGACAGAAAAGGAAGGGGTTGCCAGGAGTCTCAGGACAGCCCGAAGCCGCATGAAGTGTATGAAATCGTCTCTACCGCCGTCTAGTTTTCCTTCAGGGCAAGCGGAGTGCAATATGATGTATGGCGAAGTTTGTCAGCGGAATTGAGCGAAGCTCCGAAGCGATGAGAACGTTTTCTGGTGATTCAGCGGGATGGGCTTGGTAGAACCTTGGAAATCTTTGCTGTTCCTCGAGTGTAGTTATTTGTGTGTAATGAGTATACAATTGTTCCTCTATACTGTAATCGTGAATATTGTGATGGAACTATTTTTCTGCTTTACGTTCGAAATGGCAAGTGAAATTAGAAAATTCCTTATCCATAGGTACTTGACTGCGAAAAATTTTTCGGAATGTGATGTGAATATGTGCAATTTCGCGTCATGACCACAAGGCGCGATGATTCGATTAGAAGACCTTCTCGCGCGCCCGCGGGTCGCTCGATTAGGTCAAATCGTGGAATTGATCGTGAATCTTATCGCTCTGAACGTGGTGGTCCTCGCCCTTCGAGGACGTTCCACTACAAGGTGAGCTTTGTAAATTAGAATCCCTGTTGTTTCTTCAACTTGTAATAGAAAAAGATGTCAGATTATAAGCTTACTTTGCTAGAGCACACTTTTCCCCTCTCTTGCGGGAAATCTAGAAGGGAATTATCCCGATATGTTCGATTCGAATCACAGCTATGATTTCGAAAATTTTTTATGCACTTTTGACAAAGTCTTGTGACTTTTGATGGCGCATATCCTGCTGACGTTTTTGACTGACCACCGAGAGGTTGCAGTTAATTTTCGTAGTGTTCTGCGGGAATAAGACCGGGAAGCTCTGACAGGCTCATCATTGACATCAATGGGTAGAAATCTTGACTTTGTTCTAGGAAGTGGCCGAGTTCGAAAAGGAGGACTGCCTGTTCTTTATCAAAGCACGATTATAATGACGGCAAACGCGATTTTCTTGATATAACCCAGCGTTGTTCCAGAAATGCCTGGAAGAGAAAATATTGTTTCCTTGCATATGGTTTCAAATGTAGTGTTAGTGTGCTACTAAGATAAGAGCGGAGTGGAACAAAGATTTTGTTTTTCGGAAAACGCATCGGAGTTCACAAATTATACTTTGTGTTCAAGTAAGATTCCATTGGTACTTGGCGGGTCCTTGTGCTCCAAAACTGCGCCGAAATGTTCGTAGATGACTTTCTAAGATCAGTCGCACAATTTTAATTGTGGTAAATTCACCGCGACGAGTTGGCCAATGTATAAAATGTTGGGAATGTCACAGAAGATAATCGTATGCTTTTCATATTAGGATCAGTCTTCAAAGTACGTCCATGACTGGGAAGAACCTCCTGGCTCTGTTGATCGCTTCGACCGACCGCCGAGAGGTCGCAGCGAATTTTCCAGAAGATCGAATTTCCGTGACACTCAACGGGATTACGATGATGGCATGAATCAGGATTACGACCGATATTCAATTCAAGGTGATTGGGAAAGCTTTCGGCTTTTATTTGAACAAAAAGGTATCATGATTTTTTCTGCAGACGTCATCGCGACCATCAAAGAAGAAACCAGCGTGCCAAAGTTATTGCGGATGTTCAAGAAAGACGATGACCCAGAAGTCGTCCGAGTGCTTTTTTCGCAGATGGAATTCGCCTTCAGGCGACCAGAAAATGCGAAAACTGTGAGGCACAAGTACCAGGATATTTTTGGTGCACTGATGAGTGAAACCAAGCGCATGTATGCGACGGGGGTTGATATTAGTGATAAGTGTGCGATCACACTTGGAAAGGTTGGTGTCTTCGTAAGTGTATACATTTGATCTGAATAACTTTTCTTTTGATTCCTCGCTGCAGTTGGCTGTCGCTCTTGGTGAAGACTTTCCGAAATTTCTTAAGTGCATTCGAGAGAAGCTGGAGTCGGATCCGAGAGACATCGTGCGCAAGACTTGCCTTCATTCCATCCGCGAAATGGTGCGTTGCGAAAGTCGGCTTAACCGTTTTCCTTCGCAATTGTATCCGCAAAAGGTCATAATCGAATTGAAAACTCACCTTGATGAAGCAGTGTCCTTGGAAACCTTGTCGCCAGTTGTTGATTCGCTTGTGTTGCTGTCCCAAACGCATCCTGCTCTGATCCAGCACGAATTCGAGGTATGTAAAAATGGTACTCAAGAGACCAAATAATGATCTTAAATGAATTAGGGCCTTGCCCAATGAACCACCCTTCTAACCAGTACAAGAAATCAAAGAAGTATCGATCAGGGTTCAAATTTCTATTTTCTTGGAATTCGGAAAAATGTTGAAAATTTTCTGGGGATTTTTAGTTATTTTTCAAGAATACAGTTACGAGATGTACCTTATTTATTGAAGGTAAAGTAACATTTTGAAGAAACATTTTCCCTCACAATTTACGAACGATGTGTTTAGGTTTTTCGGTGAAGCACCACTGTAAATGGAATACAATTTTTATTGAAGCTGGTCTTAGTGTTGCCGGAATGTCCAATTGGATCCTTGAGAAAATCATTTCTTGAAGGTTTTGTCGGAAACGCTAATTAAAAAAAAATTACGTTACGGTATTGATTCTTGCCTTTTCGACATTTTTTCGCTGTATCGATGCTGAAAAATAATATGCCAAATATCATTGCAGGATATCGTCGATATTTTAATTGGATGGCACGTTGATCCCAGCCAGTCCGACGAAATAGTTTCCTACACGAGTTGTGCTCTCGCAGAGTTTGCAGACATGTGGCGAATGAATCGTAAGCTATCGGTTCATTTCCTTTCATTATTCCTGGATGACATGACACACTTCTGCGCGATGGTCGAGGATTCAGCAACTTCGCCGTCGAAAAGCTCCCATTTATTGAAGCTCATTTCACTCCTCCGCGTGTTTTCGACGGTTTGCGGCTGTGGGGAATTTTCATCCGCTGCGGATTTCGTGGGTCAACCAAACGCCGTTGGATTCATCAAGTCTTGCATTCGGAAGGTGCTGAAATGTGCGCTGGTTTGTTTTGAACGGTTCGAAGGTCGAAGAGAACGAGACATTTTGAAAGCTGCCAACGAGTGCCTGGTGATGTTATTCCCTTGCTGTGATATGGATGTGGAGTTGATGGCTGACGCTCGAGTTTTCTTGGAAAAAGTGTTTGTAACCGGGGTCTGCGAGCGACTGGATCCTGCAACGAGGCATTCCTGTCTTCTATCACTTCATGCGGTTGGTTTTCAAATCACCTTTTTGAAAAAATTACTCAATTCTGAATTTTTCGTGGAATGGCTTGTTGAAATACATGTATGGCGTTTCGGACAGGTTTCGCTAAGGACGCTTTTATCATTCTTTCAAATGTAGTTGACCAAAGCTGCCCGAAACGTCTTCGTGGAAGAAGACTTGTCGTATCTGACTGTAGGGGAGAGAAATGTTCTTCGATTGAGATTTGATCCGATCCCGGAAGTGCAAGAAGAAGCTCGATCGGTTTTCAGAACTTTGATGACTGTGAGGAACGTCAAGGTTTTAAATACCATCTATGGCGTTTTACTGGAAGATCTCTTTTTTGCTTACAAATTTTTGCCGACAACTGACGTTCTGGAAACATCTTGTGAGGAAGTCTCGGCATGCGAATCCCGAGCGTTGTTCGTTTTGAACGTCCTCTCAGAAATTGGTGAGGTTTTCTTCAATTAATGTGCACTGTTCTTGTGACATCGTAAATTTTGTATTTCAGCTACGGAGAAGAATTCCATCCTCGGTATGTGGGGTTTGAATCCAACAATTTTTCAGACTTTGTGTGTTGACTTGAGCCCAAAAGAAGTGCTTTTGAACTCCAGTCCTTCGTTCATCAACTCCAGCGTGTTTTTAGGACATGTTTACCTTTTATTCAACCACTGTTCGAGGTGAGGCACTCAGATCAAAAGCATTTTTCAGCAAGATGAGGTTTCTTTCCTTCTATATTATTAGACATGGGCATTTCGTGTTGAAGAGCAGACTACTTGAAATGACCGCAGTACCCATTTCTTGGAGCTTGAATGAGAGTGCAAATCCTGCAACCTTTGACGAGTCAATTGTGGCAATCGCTCCGATAGCGAGTGTTTCTACAGCAGGGCATTTTGAAAGCGTCTTGGAACTCCTTCTGTCGATGCTTGACCATGTTATTAAGCCTGGGGTCATTCCCGCGCTGACCTGTCTTTGTTTGCAATGGGTGATGGAAATTTTTCAAGTTTATAAGGATGAATACTATCAGCGGGTGGCTCGACAGGTAAAGTGCGAAATCCCTATTCGAGTAGATCATTTTCTGCCATGGTCCTTGTTTCTCCAGAAATCCGAAAGAAAATTCGAGCATCCTTCGCAACTAGGTCGGATTTTACAGAAGTCTTTGAAAGCGTGTGCCATGGATGATCTGGATGTGTGTTTGGCTGCCGCGAGAAGCCTTGTAGCTGGTATTGATTCGCTAGCTTGGAATAAGAACGATGTCGTGAGTATGCACATGATGGAACTGGTCCGAGTAGAATGCAACGGATTTTCCATTGAACTATTGTTCGTCGTAAAAGTGGTGAACGTGTGGTGACGTTGATCCAGGAGTTCGATCTGGGATTCCAGGAAGAAATCTTCATTTATGTCAATGCTATTCAACTTTTTATGCTTATTTTCCTTGCACTCTGCACAAATTTCGAATAATTGTTTTAGTTTAAAAATCCGTCAATGAAAATAATGCTGAAAGTTGAACTCCGTCTGGAAGTTCCTTGGGTACTCAAGTTGCTAGGTCAGAACTCAAAATCCTCCAACATGCGTGTGGTTCAATGCCGACATGAACCTTTTCTTAATTCGCAGAACACTTTTCAATGATCTTTTGTTTTCCTGCCGGTTTCCAGTTTAAGGAACCTTCACTTTAAAATTTCCAAAATTTATTCGGATCGGTACGCTTAGTTCCGCTGGCAAACACGGTGTAATCTCGTTATAGCGAAGCGTTTTGGACTTCAGAAAAGCATCGTTATAAACGAGAATTTGGTAAAACGCAATAAAAATACCTACTGGATAGTGTAAAAAAAAAATACCGTTGTAGAAATCAATTCTTTGAGACGGGATTCTGTTGTAGTCAAATTTGTAACATTTTTATGTTTCCAAAATATTTTGTGGCGCTTGGAGTAGAGCAAATTTTTCTTTCATGCATTTTTGGTTGAGAAAGTGTGCAAGACTGGAAAAAACCCTGCTATTTTCTCATGAAACAAATTTCGGTCATTGAAGCTTACCGTGGCGTAATTCCTCGTTC